AAAGGGAGAAAAAGACCAACTGCAGAGGAACACAAGCAAACACGGAGGGATCTGCAATGTAATGAGGGCGCACACCAACGTGGAATACAATAGCTGGAAGGGAGGAGGTGTCACATCTAAGCAGACATCCACTCCCACGCATCCACAGGACGGCAGCCTGATTATTGTGAGCGTGTGGATTATAGAAGATTGAATAAGGCACCAATAAAATGATCATCTTTATAGGCAGAGAGCAGATGAGATATAAGGCAGACCGGTGAAGGTCATCTTTGATTATAGGCACAGTAACAAGCTTTTACAGATTTACAGATAGAAACATATTTATTGTCACCTCTGGTAAAGATGTGTAAAAGATTTCAAAATAGGTTATTTTTATGATGTGGAACAATCATCAGGAAATAACACCTTAAAGAAAAATCAACCCTTTAATCTAAGAATCTGTATTTTTGTAGTGGGATGTGTTGAAGGGCACAAAGTTTCATTAATTCAGTCGGAGCATACTGAGTCTTCTTTTATACCATCTCACGAGGATAAAACACAGAGAAACACGGTTCTAAAATACATTTTCTTTGCAGTTTTTCTGGCTCATCAACACTCCTGCATCTAATCTTGAGGCTGCAGCAAAGGATGATTTATTTTATGTCAGGTTAACTATTCCTGTGTTCAAAAAAGTTAAAGTAAATAAACCACTGGACTTTATTTTCCAAGTCTGAAGACGTTTCGCTTCCCATCCAGGAAGTTTTTTTAATTCATAATGTCTGGATTAGCGTTGAGTTGCAGTTTTTTTTTTTTAGAGTAGCCCAAGAAAAGCCTTGTATTGGCTTAGAAAACATGCAGCTCCCCCCCTTCATAATGCCAGTATCTGTTATGGTTCTTCCCATTTGTTGTGACTCTGAGTTTTCAGTTTTCTGTTATCAGTTGTTTTTTTTTGTTTTTTCCATGATATTCTAGCATTCTTTAGTTACTCTCTGTTGCCCCCTTGTGATTGTTTTCTTTCCTCTTGGATTCCCTCTTGCCAGTTCCACCCACACCTGCTCCTCATTCAGCTCGTTAGTCCATCCTTTGTTCTGTTCTCCTTAAATACTCCACCTCTGCAGTCATTCTGTGCTGGTTACTTCTCATTGCTGTCTACTCAGTTTGTCTCTCCCCGGCTCCTCAGGCTCGTTTTCCCCTGATGTCTCCATGGTTTTGGTTTGTTTAATATTTTAAGTTGGATTTCTGCCTCTGCTACCTTTGGTCTGCAATTGAACCTCTCAGAACTCATCTCTGCATCTGGGTGCTCGAGCAACCTCACCACCCATTGTTGACAGTATCAGGCCTGCTATACCCGATACTGGCCCATTCCTCTGAAAAAGGCCTCCCATTGTTAAGGGGTGGAACTGGTTTTCAATTTTCCTGGAATTCAATGTTAATCCAGACATTTTGAAGTCCAGTGGTTTGTTTTTCCAACTTGAACTTTATGGAATGACTATGACCTGGATGACTGGGAATCTCCACCAGCATTTTCCTGTGTTGATTTGGTTATACCTTTAGGATCATTTTCCAGTCAAAGACACCTTTATATCAGTTTACGTATTACGCCGAACTAGTTTGTATAGAAATAGTTGAGCTATTTGAATAAGCTCATAAAGTAATGCACTCAAACAAGGTTTCAATTGTCTTTAAAACAGACCAACCTCTGTTCAACGTACCTTTGTTGTGAGTAAATCTGACACAAAAGCTGCTGCACTGTTCAATCTGAAGCTGCCATTACAATATTTCCTTTTGTTTGACCATGTGAAGATTTTAATACTCATTGACTTGTTTGATTCAATATAAACAATGTTTTCAAACACCTATAGTTTCAAGCATCCTGAGCTAAGAAAATACATTTTAGGCTGTAATAGGGTGAGTTTTTTAATTCTCCAAAACCTCTTTGCATTATGGGATATCTGGTGATCAGACTGTGTTTGCTACAATGCTAAATGCATAGGAGTTTCATTTTCCAGTTGCACGGTGTCTCTCACTACCAGAACCGTCCCAGAAGCACGATCCGTACCATCAACTCATTTAAATATGAGCAGCAAGATATACGTCCAGGTTTTCATAAATAGTGTAATTATGGTACTAAAATTACTTATTTCTATCCTTAACTTATTAAAGAATGCTAAAAGACATCTTTAAAAAACATTTTCTGACTTTTCTGAGACAATTTTAATGCTTTTTACATTTTTTCTGTTAAACTGCTCCTCTGACGTCATCATGGGACACGCTCAGATCAGTCTGGCAAAATAAGATTAAACTGTGTTTATTTGCATTTTAGTTGTTTCTTTCTTTAGGTTATGCACTATATACAATAATGTTAAGCCTAAAACAATGAAAACAAAACTCAAAAAGACTAGATTTATGTTTAAATCCAGCGCCGAAAAAGTTAGCTTAGATTGGGCAAAGATGACTGATAAAACAGAAAGGATTTTAAGGCATTTATTTGCTTAGGAAATACATTATTAACCTTTAACACATTGTAGTTTAGTTAACTTACCATTTTTGGGGATTGGAAAAACATAATTTAGGTGTGTTTTAAAGTAGAATCAAGGGTGACCCAGATGTATATCTGGTTGCGCAGATAGGCGGATCGTACGTATCGTACTTCCGGGACGGATAGGGTAGTGACAGTGTCTTCCAATGTGCTAGAGGTCAAAGGAGGATGAAAAAACG